CCCTTTATAATAGCATTAAAGAGAATAAGATGCTTAGGAATAAATTTAACCAAGGAGGCAAAAAGCTTGTATAGTGTCAGCATATCTTGTTTTATTGTGCTTCACTTTATTGCACTTTCCAGGAACTGTATTTTTTTCAACTGAAGGTAAGACTCTGCACCAGCAAAAGAAGTATGACTCGCTGAAGGCTCAGATGATGGTTAGCATTTTTAGTAATAAAGTGTTTTTTAATTAAGGAATGTACATTGTTTTAGACATAATGCTATTGCACACTGAATAGTCTACAGTATAGTGTAAACATTTACACCGAGTGGCCAGGTTATTATGACCGGCCAGATTATTATGACCACCCCATCAGTGCAATGAAGTCAATTAGTTATGCAAATAATAATAATAAAACCTTGAGAGTATTTGCTTAGGAAGTTTTCAATATTCAGTATTCTTGGAAGTATACTGATGGGATGTTCATAATAATCTGGCCACTCAGTGTATATGCAATGGAAAACCAAAAATTTCATCTGACTTGCTTCATGATATTTGTTTTATTGTAGTGGTCTGGAACCGTAATTCTGAGGTATGCCTGTACACTGAAAACTATAAAGCATTGCTGAGAGATATGAAAGAATATCTAAATAAATGGAAAGATATCCTATGTTTATGAATTGGAAAACTTAATATTGTTTAAGAGGACAGTACCAATCAAAGCCTTCTATAGATTCATTGTAATCCCTGTCAAAATTCCAAGGACATTTTTTGCAACATAGGAAAGTCCATCCTAAAATATATATGGAATCTCAAGGGACTCCAAATAGCCAAAACAATCTTGAAAGAAGAAAACAGTTGGACTTACACATCTTTATTTCAAAACTTCTACAAAGCTGTAGTAATAAAAGCAGTGTGGTTCTGGCATACACCAGACATAGAGAATCTAGAAATAAACCCTGAAATAATATGGTCAAATGATTTTCCACAAAGATGCTAACCCCATTCAGTGGGGGAAAGTATGAAAGAAGTTACGAGGGGGTAAAGGAGGGGGTATGAGGAGTGATTGTTTAATGGGTACAAAGTTTCTGATTGGGATGATAATTGTGAATATATTTAATGGCACAGAATTGTACTTTTTAAAATGGTAAATTTTATGTTAAAGAAAGAAGAAAAATTGGGGCTGGGGCTGATGGTTGTTAAATGGGATCAGGAGTACCAAAAGTTCCCATGTGGTTGGAGAATCTAGACATTGAGAGTAATTTCTGAACATGTTAGAAAAGGAGGTTATGATAAAAGGCTGGGGTATCTGATTATTGATTTGAGAAGTGATATTCCAGATAAAATCTGGAATGTGTAACCCTTAGGGAATTTGAGCATGGGAGACAGCAAAATTCAAATTCTAGCCTTGTCATTTTTTTTCAGCCCTGTCATTTTGTCATATAACTAAAGCTTTCTGAACTTTTGTCTGTTTTGTATTTGTTAAACTATAGTCATTAAGATTATTGATTAAGTGACTGGTAAAAAACCCACAAACTAAAAGTGCTAACACATAGGTAGGAAACTTAAAAATGACAAAAATAGAGGAGAAATATTTGAGGAAATAATAGAGATCAATTCTCCAGAATTAAAAAGAGATGAGAGATCTCATATTGAAAAGGCCCAAATAGGATACCAAATAGAGTTAAAAAAAACAAACAAACCTCCATCTAGACACATTATAGTGAAATTTAAGATTGTCAGAGAAAGAGAAAAGTCTAAAGCTTACCCAAGAGAATAAATATTATTAAGGAACAAGATTCAAATTGGCATCACTCTTTTAAACAGCAATATAGACTACTAGAGGCCTGGTGCATAAAATTCATGAACGGGGTGGGGGAGGGGAAAGGGTGTCCCCTCAACCCGGCCTGCACCCTCTCGCAATCCGGGACCCCATGGGGGATGGCTGACTGCTGGTTTAGGCCCGGGATTGGGTCTAAACCGGCAGTCGGACATCCCTCTTGCAATCTGGGACTGCTGGCTCCTAACTGCTCGCCTGCCTGCCTGCCTGATCACCCCTAACGGCCTCTGCCTGCCTGCCTGCCTGATTGCCTCTAACCACTGCCTGATCAGCCTTAACTACCTCTGCCTTGGCCCCCGTTGCATGGCTTTGTCCAGAATGACGTCTGGCTGTCTGGTCTAATTAGTATATTATGCTCTTATTATGATAGAGTAATATATTTTGAGTATTGAAAAGATTATTGAAAGAAAATGACTTTAAACCCTGAATTCAACCAACTGTTGTTCAAGTAGAAGAGCATGATTAAAATATTCTCCAATGTATTGAATATTAAAATATTCTCAAGATATTGAAGATCAGCCATACAGAGTCCAACAGGGGGAACATTTCTGAGGAAGAACGCAGATGAGTAGAGAAATCTAGCAGATCCTATTAGATGTGTAATGTACACATGTAAGATGTGTAAAGAATGACCAAGTACCAAAGTAAAGATTGTCTAAAAAATTAGCCAGGTTAAAGAAAAGAAATAGAGGAAGTATATCAATAACACATGATGAAGATTGGTTAGAAGGTAGATCAGGGACATGAGGGCATGGTAAAGTTCTTGGCTTGATAAAAGGTAAAACATTTTAGTTACCAATAGGAAAGAGAGTAAAAAGAAGTTCAGAAAAAGCAATGGACAAATTGAAATAAAAAGTCAGTTAAAAGGCAGAGATTGATGACTCAAAAAAATCCAATATATGTTTGTTTATAAGAAATAACCTAAATCATAATATAAAGTCATAAAGTGTTGGAAGCCGATCCACCCTGGCTGCTTGAGGCAGTCCCTGCAGGGATGTTTCAAGGGACCTGGTGTATATGGCATATTGTTCTTAATATGCTTGCTCCGCTCTTAACAGCTATGTGTTTTAAACAGGACCACCTCCCTGAGAAAGGTTGTTTCCCCAGAGGGGTGGTTGGTCGCTTTGATCTTTGCTTGGAGTGACCTCCTTCAGTTACTTCCTTGTAGCTTAGTGGTGCAATAGAGTAACCTTTGAGGTGGAACAATAGAGTAACCTTTGAATGGAGATGGGAAGCCTGCTGGCCTTTTGTATAGAATGGATAGGATTGGGACCAAATAGGATAAATACAGATGTTAGATGACAATAAAGGAAGAACCTGGCTATGATGATCACCTAAACACTGACTCCGTGTCCTTCATTCTTCGCCAACTCCGTCCACACCTTGGGGAACCCCTCGACCCGCTGGGGCATGGATATAGGTGGAGGGGCATGGATCAGATGTATATGAAAATATCTGAAAATTGAGCATACTAACAAAGCATTTGCTTATGAGGATGTTATATCTATCGATAGTTATATTAGAAATTAAAACTGAAAATTAAAAAAAACGTTTAAAAATAGCAATAATATATCCCTCGTATGTTAACGTAAGTAACATTTTAATGAAAAATAACTATTGTACTAAACAGCAAAGGATTTTAATGGGAAGAGTAATAGTATTTTATGCATTTTCGTAAATTTCTTTAACCATCTGATTTAATAAAACATACTTAGAGCCTGTTATCTGCTTTTGCATTCACTCTGTTGCAATATGTTGTTTTGATTGAGGTACATGAGGAGAATCCTAGGTCTTGTAGATCTTTTGAAACAGTCTGGGGAACCCTCGGGGGGTCACACTTTGAAAATTGCTTTTTCTGTACAAATTTCTTTGCTATTGCCCCTCTTTCTCCAATTTGGTCTCTTCTGTACTGATTATAGTTTTCTCATTTTCTGTATTCCCTCCCACCGTCCATTTTTGTTTTTTATTTCCTATCTTACTTGTTATTCAGATTGATCTTCAAGTCTTCACTGATAATTCTAGTGTCTGTGACTATCTCTTCTTCAAAATTTATTGGCAAACATAGTTGGTTAACTGGAGGATATTTAAGTGTTATAAGTTTTCTCTTTCCAGTTATCTTATAAAGCTCTTTTTTTTTTTTTTTTTAAAGCAGGGACTCTAAAAATTGACAAGACAAAGGAAGAGTTTCTCCTAGCCCAGTGTTAGGTACAAAGTAATGTTTGTTGGTTGATAGGAAGTAACATTCTCCAGGAGAGCACATAGACATCACAAATTCTCTTGGCCTTAAATGTTTTATTAGAAAACTATAGTATCTGCTACATGGTAATACTTTTGGTATACAAGTAATGGTTTCTTTTTTCTTTTTCTTTTTCTTTTCTTTGTGACTGGTGCTTTCAAATATGCTGTCTTGTTTAGTCTTCATTTAAACCGTGGAGCATTTTCCTTTCTACTTTATTAATTGTACAATAGCATGTCATCTGCAAATAATAACAGTATTACTCCCTCCTTTCCAATTTGGATGCCTTTTGTTTCTTCTTGTCTGATTGGAAGTGAGTACTATGTTGAACAAGAGTGGGGAAAGTGGACATCCCTTTCTTGCTCCTGTTCTTAGGGGTAATGGTTTTAGTTTTTGCCCATTGACTATGATGTTGGCTGTATGTTTGTCATATATGGCCTTTATTATTTTGAGGTATGATCTCTCTATTCCCACTTTGCTTAGAGTTTTTATCTTATATGGATGTTAGATTTTATCAATTGCTTTTATGCATATATTTTTCTAATATATTGTTGAATTTGATTTGTAAATGTTTTGTTGAGGATTTCTGCATCTTTGTTCATCAGGGATATCCTCCAGGAGAGCACATAGACATCACAAATTCTCTTGGCCTTAAATGTTTTATTAGAAAACTATAGTATCTGCTACATGGTAATACTTTTGGTATACAAGTAATGGTTTCTTTTTTCTTTTTCTTTTTCTTTTTCTTTTTCTTTTTCTTTTAAGAGATCTTTATAACTAAAACCATCTTCAGTTTAGGCTTGTTGATACTGCAAGTCATTTTTTTTTAATTGTTGATATTATTACAGATATCCCCCATTTTCCCTCCTTTGCTGCCCTCTACCCACACCTTCCCCTCCCTATAGGCTACTTACTGATTCATTTATTTTCTTTCCATTTCAGAAAAAAGCCAAAGGTCAAGAGCTGTTTGATCAGATTACATACCACTTGGATCTTATTGAAAGCGACTATTTTGGACTGAGATTTATGGATTCAGCACAAGTAGCAGTGAGTAGCTGTTTTTTGGAGGTTCTAATATGGGGGCAGAAATGGAAAATTTTAGATAATGTGCTAAGTGCTACGGGCTACTTTTTTTTTTTAAGGCTACATATTCTTCTTTTTTTTTAAAATATATTTTATTGATTTTTTTACAGAGAGGAAGGGAGAGAGATAGAGAGTCAGAAA